ACATATGAAAATTGTGACCAATTATATGAAATTTGTGACCAAATTATATGAAATTGTGACATTAATATATTTAATTAATAAAATATATGTTTAATTAATTAATTTATAAATAAAATTTAAAAAACTCTGAAATTTGAAATTGGTAAAATTAAACATCTTATTTATGTAATCTTCCCATAAGTCTTTCCCAGTCAACTATTGGACAGAAGTAATGTAGGCCTTTGGACCCCCCATTGAATTCATTTTCATAACCCAACTTGCATGGGTCTCTTTTTTGGTTTTAAGTTGGTCCTAGGGGAATTGGGCTTCCTTTTCCTTTTCAGCATTGAAAATAGAAAAAAAAAATTAAAAATTAAAAGGTTGGTCTTCCCAACTTTTCAGGTAATGTGATTTGAGTCCCAATCTTTGTGAAATTTTGGATTCTGAATCCTGAATTCATCCCTGCTTGAATCATTATTTGGAACTGACCAGTTCTCGATTTTCAGCTCGACTATGGAGCCATGCAGGTCGGTCCAGTAACAACCTAATCTGCGCCTTTTACAATCTATAGAATAATGCTATTATGCCATTCTATTGCAGAATACAAAACGCCATCTTTTTATTGAATCTAACATCACAAACAGTTACAAGAAAAAATAGTTTGTCAAGTACTGAATATTGATCCATAAAAAAATGTACAATTTTCGTAATTTAACTACTGTTTATACTTGTACATGGCTATCCTGATCTCCATTAATTCCTCTCCCCTAGCATGTCGAGAATGAAGCCAAGCCATCGACCGGTCAAGAATCCTTGACACCATGCAGTCGAACATTGAGCCTTCTGAGCTAGATGGAATGAAGTATCACGTGAAAAACATCGTATCGCCTTGGAGGTGAATTAACCTCAAAATGCCTCCTCGCTTGTATTCCTCGTCTTTGCATTCTAATATACTGTCTCTTCGAAAATCCAGAAAGAATTTTCTTCAAGTTCGGTATCTCCACCACGGGAATTTCAACAGCGAACGATTTCCAGTTCA